AGGGTTTATTACTTGGTGGCTAAGTCAACCTCTCCCTATAAATAGAGGGTTCTATTCCATTGTAATTCATCCCAAAATTCAATAAGAATTTCCCCTCTCTCTTTCTCTGCAATATTGTTCTTCTTCTTTTATTATTTTATAACACGTTATCAGCACGAGACTCTACCGTCTCAAGAAGATTAAGAAACATGTTTTATGTTTTCAATATCCAGTTGCGCCTATGCTGAAAGGTTGTGTATGTAAGTCAGTAGTGTTCGTTGTCTTCACTTACCTCTTAGAGAAGAATTAGCAAACAACAATTGATCAAGACTTAGAAGACTTTTCAACTGTGAATCAAGATTAGAAAACGTGCAACAGTCTTTATTCAATGGATCAAACAAATGTCGATATCTCTCCAGGTAAACTTGGATCAAAGTTCAATTGTAAAAATATTTGTTTAATTGATTCATGTACGACACATACAATATTCAAAGAGAAGAAATATTTCTCTCATTTAAGTATGTGTAAGGCAGATGTTACTACAATTTCTGGTAGTAGTAATTTAATTGAAGGCTCTGGAAGAGCTACTATAACTCTGCCTAAGGGAACAATACTAATCATAGAGAATGCAATGTTCTCCTCCAAGTCCAAGAGGAACTTCTTGAGTTTTAAAGATATCCGTCGAAATGGATATCATATTGAGACAATAGATGAGAATAATCTTGAATATCTCATCATTACCAAAAATGTCTCTGGCCAGAAAAGGGCTATTGAGAAGTTCCCATCTTTGTCTTGTGGCCTGTATTGGACAAGAATTAGTGCAATTGAGGCACATTCTATTGTAAACCAAAAGGTTACCGATTCCAATACTTTTGTACTTTGGCATGATCGATTGGGACACCCTGGATCAATTGTGATGAGACGAATTATAGAAAACTCAAACGGGCATCCATTAAAGAATTTAAAGATTCTTTTAAATGATGAATTTTCTTGCACTTCTTGTTATCAAGGCAAGTTAATTATTAGACCATCACCAACAAAGGTTGGAATTGAGTCCCCTGCGTTTTTAGAACGTATACAAGGGGACATTTGTGGACCTATTCACCCACCTAGTGGGTCGTTTAGATATTTTATGGTCTTAATAGACGCATCTTCTAGATGGTCCCATGTGTGCCTATTGTCATCTCGCAACCTCGCGTTTGCAAAATTAATGGCACAAATAATTCGATTACGGGCACAATTTCCTGATAATCCAATTAAGTCTATTAGACTTGATAATGCTGCTGAGTTTTCATCCCAAGCATTTAATGATTATTGCTTATCAATTGGGATAAAAGTGGAACATCCTGTAGCTCATGTTCACACTCAAAATGGTCTTGCAGAGTCTTTAATTAAACGTCTGCAATTGATAGCAAGACCGTTACTCATGAAAACGAGGTTACCCACTTCTGTTTGGGGTCACGCCATTTTGCATGCAGCAATGCTAGTTCGTCTCAGACCGACAAATTATCATAAATATTCCCCGTTGCAATTAGTTTTGGGTCACGAACCTAATATATCCCATTTAAGAATTTTTGGATCGCAGTATATGTGCCTGTAGCACCGCCATATCGCACCAAAATGGGTCCCCAAAGAAGGTTAGGAATATACGTTGGGTTTGAATCACCCTCCATTATTCGCTATCTTGAAACATTAACGGGGGATTTATTCACTGCTCGATTTGCAGATTGTCGATTCGATGAGACACTTTTCCCAAAATTAGGGGGAGAAGTTGGTGAAACCAAACGGGAAATTTTATGGAAAAATCCATCATTATCTCATCTTGATCCACGTGCCTCTATTTGTGAAAAAGAGGTGCAAAAGATTATTCATTTGCAGAGAATAGCAAATCAAATGCCAGATGCATTTACGGATTTGAAAAGGATAACAAAATCGCATATCCCTGCAGAGAATGTTCCAATCCGTATTGATGTCCCTATTGGACAATCTTCTAGTGTCATAGCTAATGAGTCAAAAGCACGCCTAAAACGTGGCAGACCATTAGGTTCCAAAGATCGAAATCCTAGAAAAAGGAAAACAAATGATCAAAATGACACTACGAAAGAATCTCATGAAGAAATCAACGATTTAATAAATTCTGAGATTCATGAGGAATCCACTGAGCCCGAGACTCAAGAAAATAAGGAACTATCAATAAATCCAATCGATATTGAGATAAATTTGAATCGAGTGGATATAGTGGTGGATTATGTCTTTGCATATAATGTTGCATCTAGCATTATGCAAGAAAGTGAGGATCTTGAACCTCAATCTGTTGGAGAATGTCGACAAAGACTTGATTGGCCAAAATGGCAAGAAGCAATCCAATCAGAGTTGAATTCGCTTGCAAAACGTGAAGTTTTTGGGCCTGTAGTCCAAACACCTAATGGTGTTAAGCCTGTTGGCTATAAATGGGTCTTTGTACGCAAGAGAAATGAGAAAAACGAGATACAAAGATATAAGGCACGCCTTGTTGCACAAGGATTTTCACAAAGGCCTGGTGTCGATTATGAAGAGACATATTCACCCGTTATGGATGCTATAACGTTCCGTCATCTTATTAGTTTTGCTGTCCATGAAAAGTTTGACATGCATTTAATGGATGTGGTTACCGCTTATCTTTATGGCTCACTTGATAATGAGATATACATGAAAATTCCCGATGGATTTAAAATGCCAAACGCACATAATTCAAAGTCTCGAAAAATATTTTCAATCAAATTGCAAAGATCTTTGTATGCTCTAAAGCAATCAGGACGAATGTGGTATAATCGTCTTAGTGAGTATTTATAAAAGGAAGGCTATATAAATGATGCCATTTGCCCATGTGTTTTTATAAAGAAAACGACATCGGAATTTGTTGTACTTGCCGTATATGTTGATGACATACACCTTATTGGAACTCCTATTGAACTCCAAAAGGCAATTGATTATTTAAAGAAGGAATTCGAGATGAAAGATCTCGGAAAGACAAAATTATGTTTTGGTTTGCAAATTGAACATTTGGCAAAGGAATATTTATTCATCAATCTACCTACATAGAAAAGGTATTGAAACGGTTTTACATGGATGGAGCACATCCATTAAGTACTCTGATGGTTGTTCGATCACTTGATGTGAATAAGGATCCATTCCGACCTCAAGAAAAGAATGAAGAGCTACTTGGTCCTGAAGTACCATATCTTAGTGCAATTGGTGCACTAATGTATCTTGCCAATACTACAAGGCCTGACATAACTTTTTCAGTTAATGTCTTAGCAAGATATAGCTCTGCTCCCACAAGGAGACATTGGAATGGAATCAAACACATATTGCGGTATCTAAAAGGGACTACCGATATGGGCTTATTTTATGGCAACAATTGCAGTCCCGATCTTGTTGGTTATGCTGATGTTGGGTATTTATCTGACCCACACAAGGTCGGTCTCAAACCGGTTATGTATTTACCTGTGGAGGCACTGCCATATCTTGGCGATCGACTAAGCAATCAATTGTGGCTACTTCATCTAATCATGCTGAGATAATTGCTATTCATGAAGCAAGTCGAGAATGCGTGTGGTTGAGGTCTATAATACATCTTATTCGAGACAAATGTGGTGTGAAATGTGACAAACTACCCACAATTTTGTATGAAGATAATGCAGCATGCATAGCTCAATTGAAGGGAGGATTCATAAAAGGAGATAGGACAAAGCACATTTCACCAAAGTTATTTTTCACATATGATCTTCAAAAGAATGGTGATATTAATGTGCAACAGATTCGTTCAAGTGATAATATGGCTGATTTGTTCACAAAATCTCTACCAACGTCAACCTTCAAGAAGCTAGTGTACAAGATCGGGATGCGAAGGCTCAAGGATGTGAATTGATGCTCTCATCAGGGGGAGTTAATGCGCGTTGCACTCTTTTTCCCTTACAAGGTTTTGTCCCACTGGGTTTTCCTTGCAAGGTTTTTAACGAGACAACCAATATGCGCATTTCTAAACATGTGTACTCTTTTTCCTTTTCTAGAATTTTTTCCCATTGGGTTTTCTTTTAGTTAAGGTTTTAACGAGGCACATTATCTATTGAATAGACATTCAGGGAGAGTGTTATAAATAGAATTCTATTTATGGTGAATGTCCATATTTAGAGAGATTCTAGGGTTTATTACTTGGTGGCTAAGTCAACCTCTCCCTATAAATAGAGAGTTCTATTCCATTGTAATTCATCCCAAAATTCAATAAGAATTTCCCCTCTCTCTTTCTCTGCAATATTGTTCTTCTTCTTTTATTATTTTATAACACAATCATATTTTTGTATGAAAATAACCAACCGACTCGGTTGATTTTCTTTAAAAAGTAAATTGACCAACCACGTCAGTTGGTAATTCAATCGATTTTAGAAATTAGTTGACCAAAGATTTGATAAAAAAAACCCGATCATCTCGATCGGTTCTCTGAATATAATTTTTAATTTATTTTAAATAATGTTTTATTTTGAAAACTAAATTTTCCGATACGCATTATCCACTAACTTGATTGAAAATATAATTTTCCTTGTTTTGGCGTCTATCGATTCGTAAAGAATAAAAACAAATGTATTTGCTAATTATGTATTAACTTGGTTGATTTATGGGTCGATATTTTTTTGATCAATTTGAGCTATTCTTAGTGGAATTTTTACGTCCTATAGCAAAGGTTGACACATTATTTATTTTAAATAAATACCCTTTTACAAAATTATATTCTATAGATACCTTTTGATTTTTATAGCCAAATATCTATTTATGGTTACCTCCTACTCTTAAGCCATATAATACTCTTTGTATTATTTTTCTCTCTCATTCTTTCAGATTTTTCTCCACCCCCCCTCCCCTCTCTCTCTCAACACCAGTATTTCTCCATGGTTATCCCCTCTCTCTCAATAAATGTGTATGCATTAAAGGGAAAAAACAGATACTGATTCTGATCGGAAAACGAAGTTGGATTTGGTTCAAAATCAAATCCTTTTCAACAAATCTGCACAAGTTCTTTGCATAGGGCTTCTGAAATTCCCCTGTGCTTCCAACCATGTCTCCTCAACCAACAGTTCCTCTGACTTCACATATCCTACGCCATCACCATTTGCGTTTAACTTGGAGGTTTTATCAGAGCATAGTTTGAGGTTCATTTTGGCCTTTGCAAGCGATTTATTGAACTCCATTCTCGACTTTTGATTAGATGTGAGCATTGTATCTTTGAGGTCTTTGTTGCCGCCGTCTTCACCCAACAATGAAGATGACAAGGCGCCGGAAATGAAGTTATCAGCGGAAAATGGCGAGGAGACCCCTTTTAGCCGCTTTGCTGCAGGTTGCTTGAATAGATCCATTAGGGTTTTAGGGTTTTTCATTATAATTCAATGTATCTCGTTGTATTTCTTGTATTTTATTGTATTCACTGTCTTTGTTTCATTGTATTTCAATGTATCCCGCTGTATTATATGTATTTAATTATATTCACTGTCTCGCTATATATGCCATGAATGTATTTATATATTTTTTTAATTAATATAATTTATGTATTCAGATGTATTATATAATTTCTCTGAAGATTGCTATGTTTTTGGGGTATTTTTTGGTTGAGAATCTTTTTTGTAACTGAAAATACAAAATTTTCGTGTTATAATTGAGTTTGTTGAGTTATATTAGGAGTCTATATGTTAATTGATTCACTTTCCGTTTTAAAAACAGTGTATTCCTCTATTTCACGCATGAATACAGTCGAATACAATTGAATACAATAATCTGTCCAGCTGTAATCCCATGTTTCACTCCATGAATACAATCGAATACACTCGAATACAACAATTGATTAGCTGGACTTCCTTGATTCACGCCTATTTTGCTACTATATTCTTAAATACAATAGCTTAAATACATCAAATACATCTTATAACCACACAAAAAATACCTATAGTTCGTAATATAACAAATAGTATCTATAGATGACTAATTACTACCAAAAGGTAGTGGTTTATGAAAATTTTTCATTTTTTAGTAGCGCGAAGAGCCAAGAAGGGAGCAAGCGAATAATTGAGAGAAGTTCTTGTGTTAGTAAGCTTGTAAATAGTTACGTGCGATCGAGAAAGATACTTGTAACTTAGAAAAAATTAAATTAGAGTAGAATAAATGTCATGGGTTAATCAAGGTGAAGCTGAGATTCAACTCCTCTGAATCCCTTGATTCATGACCTTTTACAATCATATCTCATTAACTTTTCGTCACATTTTCTAATTTCTCAAAGTAACGGGATTTTATGCTTATCAATGCTAGAGGCAGAGAAAAAAAAGTGATACATTTAGAGTCTTGGGCAAATCTACAATCCTATAGTTTATTAAAGTTTCGCTTGAAATCATGAGGAATAATAATAGGAAAACTTACACAAAAGTACCAAATAAATGTCAACTTACCAATCTCTAGCCGTTAGTCATAAACTTATCAAAACTAGCCAAGTACATATAAAAATTGAAAAATTAAATAAATTTTTTTCTCAAAGAATCACATGCAAAAATCCCCTTCCATATTTTTAAGCGTGATTAGCAATATTAGAAGCAAGACGGAAAGAAAATTTCATGGATGAGGTAGCAAATAAGGTGATGAAATAAAAAATATATATAATATTCCAAAAATCTAAGCAAAAAAGGAACTTTTTCAATAGGTATCGTTGAAATTCTTTGAAAACATACATACAAAATTTGAGGAAGATTGGAGGTGATTTTGACTGTTTTTGTATCAAAATTCGTAATTAAATCGAGTTCAAAAATTTCTTCTGCGACTCATGTATCAAATACGTATCACGCATGTATCACACACATAGGTATACATGGATATACATGTGATACACAATTGATACAAATATGATACATATGTGATACACATATCATTTTTTTTCATGTTCAATTTTTACTTCGAATTTTCAATTCAAACCATCTCAAAACTTCACCAAATCATTCCAAAACTGAGATGTACCCAATCAACTCTAATAACACCCACTCAAAAGAAAGCAAAAATTTAACTTTTTTTGCTACAAATAGCTAATTGGCTAATATTAGTAATATTTTATGAATCAGCCAATTTTTGTAATGAGCTACTTATAAATGGATATAGATGGTAGTTTCCCTTTTACAAGGAGGTTGCAAGGTGCAAAGCCTAAATAAGGCATGTGCTATTTTTATTTAAAAAACTTACCCAACTATTACGTATTTGTAAATAAAGTTTTATGTAAGTCAATCTAACGTAACAAATTAAACATAAGTATAACAAAATGAAAGGCTCTCTAAGTTTATTATACCTAAATATATACTCCTTCTATCTCAATTTATGTGATACTTTTTTCTCTAAGTTTATTATATTTAAACATATATTCCTTATATCCCAATTTATGTGATATTGTTTTTCTTTAACCGATAGTCTATCAAAAACAATCTCTCTGTCCTTCCAGAGTAGGGGTAAGGCTACGTACATCCTACCCTCTCAGACACCACTTGTGGGATTACACTAGATTGTTGTTGTCAGTTTTCAAAAAAATGACACTTTTCTATATTTAGCAACAATTTAGATTTAACCAATTTTCCCCCAATTCCGTCGCATTAACCAAAAAAAATTACATGGTTATATTATACATATAATACTAAAAAACTGGAACATTCTAAGTGGGAACTAGTTGGATAAGTACGAATATAATACACCTATTGATGATCAAAATCTGAGTGTTGTACCTTTTGGTAGAAATTTTGTAAACTGAAGGAGTATAAACAGCCGGTTATCACAAGATTTAGTGTAGGGGCAGCGTTTCATGTAATGGTACAAGGAAATTGTGAGATGTTATGGCTCAAGATTTTCTGTTAGACTTGAGTATTAAATTGGAGAACCCATGAGAATAAGTGTGTGGTCAACATATGTTCCATTTGTTAAAGATGACTGAACTATACTCATCGAAGTTGACGGAAAGTTCATGAAAGAGAAACTTGAAAGCAGATTGATTTGTCGTCTCTAAATTTATAGAGGGTCAATTAGCAGACGTCTTAAGTAAAGAATCAACAGATTTAGTGTTTCAGAGGATAGTGCTAGGTATGGGAATGGGAGTCTTACTGCTATTGTCCTGACTCCTAACCCCCTCACATATTTTTGTAAAATATGCCTCTTAAGCCATGACTTCTATCTCCAGTATGAACAACATTAATTCTTGCTTTGACATCTTTCTAATCATATAAATTGTTGAATGTTAGGTTGTGAAGACCACGGGGAGCCAAGTTCGTACAATGTCAACAAAACATGATTTTTCTGAGCTTGAGTTCTTCCGTCACAAGCGGAATGCGAAGGAGAATCGCATGAGAGTGAAAACCTTAGCTGCTGCCTGCATGGAATTAAGATTGATTCAACAATCCATCCGGCGAAGCCTTCAGAGAAGCAGAAGGCTTTGCTTCATCCATCATCATTTGTTGTGGCAGCCGAGGAAGGGGCTACAGTTGCTCGCACAGGCAATTGCCTATTGTGTGCGAGCAACAACTATAGAGAAGCGTTTAGAAAAACGCAAGCTAAAAAGGAATCTAAGAGCAGCAAAGTTATTCGGTGATAGTGCTGCAGAAGCAAGAAAGAGTATGACGCAGATGCTGGAGGGGTACGATGACGAAATCGCATTCAAGCTTATGGGGACCTCCGACATCAGTACACTCCGAAAAGTGAGGGATATGTTCCCTCACAAGGTTCTAGTCTTTTCTCCAGCATTGGAGGACATTACTATAGCAGCTGAGCTTTTAGGGCCGGTGGGGTCGCGCAAAGAGCTGAGGGACGGTGGCTTCCGCATGCTTGAGGAGGCGGAAGCAAGGGCGAAGGGTTTTGTTTATCGTTGTATCTATGGGCATATATAGGTTATTGCTTTAAACTACTACACTGTCGTACTTTTTGACATCCCCTCACACTAACTCTCCTGGTGGCATGATATGTGTAGTGTATATACTTTGTTTCTATATTGCCACATTCTTGATATCCCCTCACACTAACTCTGCTGCTGACATGATATGTGTACTGTACATACTTTGTTTCTATAATGCCACATTCAATTGGAAACGAATGACTTTGGTTGGTGACATGATATGTGTACTGTACATACTTTGTTTCTATATTGCCACATTCAATTGGAAAAGACTGACTTTGGTTCCGGACTCGTATAGGAGTTGCTCTGTTGCTTTCTCACAGACAATAACCTTCCATCAAAATTAACTTAATAAGCTATAGGAGTTGCTGTGTCACCATTGTTTTAGATCAATTCCAAACACGGGATCAACTTTTAGCTAAGAATAATTTTTTATTCAGTTTGAATGGTTTTCCTAAGTTAATACTCGTAAGAGTTCTTGTATTAATACTATATCTGTTTCATATATAATACTAAGAAATAAGAAGCATTATTTTCCAGCTAACAGACTGCTCTAGTGGTATTGTTTTTTGTCCGTTCACACATAAGAGTTCTTGTTTATATATATATATATATATATATATATATATATATATATATATATATTGTCACGACCCGAATTTTCCACCCTCGGGAGTTGTGATGGTGCCTACTAGTGAGAGCTAGGCAAGCCAACCAACTGAACTATTTGATTTGTTTTCCATTTTTAATTTCGTTAACGACTTAGAACCAACAATTAATAACAACATAATTTAACAAGCGGAATAATAAAATTCAAACTTAAAAATACTGCTAATACAATTCCTTAACAAAACTACCCAAGATTTGGTGTCACAACTTCACAGACTGTCTAAGAGTACTACAAATAAGGGTCTGAAAGAAATAACAAAATACTGTCTCTGGAACTACATATGAGAAGCAGGAAATAGATAGAGGGAGACGCCAAGGCCTGCGGACTACCTCGGGTCGCCTGATAAGCAAGAAGCTGAAACCTCACTGCGGTCTGAAGTCTACAGCACTGGGATCTTCACAAAAAAGTGCAGAGTGTAGTATCAGCACAACCGACCCCATGTGCTGGTAAGTGCCTAGCCTAACCTCGGCGAAGTAGTGACGAGGCTAGGACCAGACTACCAAATAACATGTGCAAACAAATTCATATACATCGGAAATAGAAATAGATAATTACAACTAAAGTTGGGCGGGGGAAACATGCTACGGGGAGTAACAGATAACAACAGAACGACTGTAGAAAAACATAAGAAATGCTAAATCAATTACCAGCCAAAATAAGGAAATAGAAGAACAGGCACACAAGTAATACCGCTGCAGGCGTGCAACCCGATCCCATGACATATGATACCGTTACAGGCGTGCTACCCGCTCCCATTTCTTACATTATTGTTGCAGGCGTGCAAC